CCCGCGCCCCCCCATCTTTTTCTTTAAACTCCCATTCGAAATCGAAAAATTCAATATTGTTGTTGGCGAAGTTGGGGTGTGAATGCCCACACATCTTAAAGTTGCCAAGGATGAAAAATATTGCAATAGGAAGACTGGAACTGGGCAGGCCAGTGGGAAGACTGGCAGCAGATTGCTGGATATGTGGACCCCAACTCCATGTACATGCAAAATGTATTGGAATCTCTTGCCATGAACATGGATACATGAAATCCTTTACTGTAGATAACAAGGTCTATATTCATTAGCCACATTTGCAAAAGGTAGATGATTTATTTAATTTATAAAATCTCCCTTCTTCCCAAAGTGTCTCTGGGCAGCGTACAAGGATTAAAAACAATAGTTTAACAAAAACCATAACATCCAAGGCCACAAACACAATCCAATTCATAGGGAACAATATTAACCAACTATTAATCCAACTATTAACCGGCAGAGTTTGCCTAACCATATGGCTCAAACATGTGGGAGAATAGTCAGGTCTTTAATGCCTCACAAAAGGTTAAGGTAGGGACCATCCTTGTTCCATAAAGCAGGTAACACCACAGAGAAGGCACGACTCCAGGGTCCAACAAGATGACATTGTTTAATGGAAGGGCACATCTTCCCTGCTAAATATGCTGAGGCAAGCAGAGACAATGGAGATAGACAGTCCCACAAATAGCCAGGGCCTATGCCATGTAGGTAACAACCAGCACGCTGAATTCCACTCAGAACCCCATTGGGAGCAATACTGTTACATGGACGTAATGAGAAATGTCCCAAACTGCCCGCACCACTACATTCTGGATCAGCTGCAGCTTCTGAATGCTTTTCAAGGGCAGCTCCATATAGAATGCACTACAGTCATCTAAATGAGGTGACTAAGGCATGAGCCACCATGAGCAAGGCCTCCTGGTCCAGGAATAGGCACAACTGGTGCACAAGATAAACCTGTGCAAAGGTTCTCCTAGTCATGCTGCCACCTGCTCTTTGAGCAGAAGTTGTGAATCCAAGAGGACCCCCAAGCTGTGCCTCAACTCTGACTGGGGAAGTGACCCTCCAGGCAGAGTTAAAGATGGAAAATCTCCCAGTCCCAGGGGACTTAAAATCCATAGCCACTCAGCCAATTGAGCCAATGCCTGTTCTCCCCCCCTCTACACCCTCACAACCTCTACTGAGAAAGAACCTTGACAGCATCACTTGGTTGGTCCAGGGTAGAGATGCATAACTAGGTATCATCAGCATTTTGATGATACCTACCTTTGTCAAGAGATGATCTTGCCCAGCAGCTTCATGTAGATGTTAAATAAGAGCAGGGAAGAAATGGAACCCTGAGGAATCCCACAAAGCCACCTCTAATGAGAGCCACCTGTAAAATTTGCTTTAAGGATGATCACAATAAGGCATATAAAATGACCTGTATTCACTTGTGCTATCAGCCTTTGTTCTCTGTGGCAAACGCAGGGACCTTGGCCCATCCCAGAATCAATGAATGATTAAACATCCTTTCTGCACAATCCTCAGCAAAAATGCATCAAGTTATCTTCAGTTTTGAAAGCTATGTTGGTAAACCTGGTTCCCTTTCTCCATTTTGGCTTAATACTAAGCCAAGCATTTGTTGAGCTAAGTCTCCAGGAAAGTAAGACAGAGTTTAAAAAAGAGTGACCTGTGTTTGTTTCCATTTTTAATAAGGTCTTCAATGTCCAAGATGGGATTAATCAGGTCTTTCTCGGTGCTTTTTTCTACATGAAAAAGGAAAAAAAAAGATGTGTACGTGAAGTAAATACAGTTACAACTGTCTCTGTCATGGAGTTTCATCAATCAGCATCAGGTCTTTGTGGCACCTGTAGCCTGAGGCTTGACAAGACACTGGTATTTTCATGTAGCATTAGATAATAGAAAATCCCAGGTTTCGTCTTTGGGCTGAAAGAAACTGGATGGTGTAAACCTAATGATAATAGCGGATCAATAGTATACTTACCTATATTAAAAATACAAAAGGGTATAAATTAATGGAAAGCTTTTAAAACAAAATAACATCTGGAATGTTTTATAACATTAAAACACTAGCACAATGTATTATGGAGGGCAGAGGGAATGGCCTTCAAGGACAGGAAGAAGAGCTGCTACAAAGGCAATAGTCAGATACGGGGTGCCTGAGCTGGGGCCAAGAAAGTATCTTGAGAAAACAACTCAAAGAAGCCCCTCCCTAGTTCACATGCAGACAAAGGGAAGGAGGGAGAAGCACATTCAGACTTGCAAGTTTCTGTTACTACAGCTGTTACAATAAAAGTAATACTGACCTACATGGCATTGGTTTCTTAGTCTGGCCTACCTGGTAGAGCTGACCTGTATTTTATTCCTCAAAAGTAAGGAGGGAAAGCAAGGAACAAAATGTGACTTCAGGGGTGCAAAACCTGGGGGCCCACAGTCACATGAAACCATTGGAAATGGCCTCTGAAGGTCTCTGAAAACTGTATCATAATTTTTAGTGTGATGAAAAAAGAAAAATTCTTAAAACTATGACAAGCAAATCATCACACTAATTTTAAAAATGTAAATGTACAAAATGTAATATTTAGTTTTTGTCCAGCCCCAACCACTGCTTTTTGGAGTACAGCCTCTGCGTGTTGCCCAAAGCAGTGTTTCTCAATCTCAGCAACTTTAAGATGTGTGGACTTCAACTCCCAGAATTTCCCCGCCCAATGTGTTGTGTGGGGGGAGTTTTGGGGGG